TTCGTGAGGTCGAGACTCGTCTTTCAACCCTCTCTGCGGGTGCAAACGGTGCTGGGGAGGCGTTGGTTGAGGCCAGGCGCCGTGAGGAGACGCTACGCTCCGAGAATGTCCGAATCTCTGCTGAGTGCGATCAGCTTCGACAGGCTCAGGGCAATCTGCAAACCGCACTTTTTACTTTTGAGAAGGGTATTCTTTTTAGTACTCCATTATGAATTATTTATGCTACATGTCCATAATCGCTAGGATCTGTTGAATTGATTCGTTGCTTTGCATTGTATGCTTTCTGTCCACCGTACATTCGTAAAATGTGTCAATCCTATAGACTGATGCATAAATCTGTCTTAGTTCAGTAGCCCTTAGTTAATCACTATACATTCTTCATACTTATGTCTACCTAAGCTTATTTAGATATGGCCTTTATATATATTAACATTGATCATCATTTACGTTCCAAGATCTACCTATACTAGTCACTAAATCCAAGGCTTCCATTAGATACCTTCGCTTCTTTCTAAGGTCATTTAACTATTGGATGGAGGTATCAGCCATTGTTTTTTAAAATAAAGGGGCATCTTGATTTTTCATGCTATTTCGAGGTCCAATAATCCCTTTCACTGGCTGGACATTTGAAAGTGTAATTCAATATGCGATTTTTGTAAGCTTTTCTTTACAGGTGTATGATAATTCATAGAAGTGGATTGACCTCGTTGTCGCAACTTGTTCTTGACTTAATAGAACGCACCTAGTCCGAAGTCGTCTGCCATAGTAGTTGTCATATGTCCTAACATCAGACAGTGGACTTGGTACATTCTCAATCGTTTCGCCGGCATCATCTGTGAGTTTTGCCATTCTCCGCACCAAGCTACGAACTCGTCAAAGCGACAAGTGAATTGAATCCCTCGACAAACGTTCTGCCGAAAACGGTTACATTCACTCCTCTTTCTGTCCTGGCCTATATATCTACTCTACCCTCTTATCCCACTGCCTCCCTATCATACCTTTTCACTTGTTTACATTCCACTCGTCTAAATGTGTGCCACTTTGTGTCAAATCTGCTATTCACCCCGACACCCTCTCTTTCGATCGGCTAATCCGACTCGGGCCTACAATCCGGATCCCATCATGGTCTCGTAGATCCGTTCCTTATCTTTCTAGTTGACCGATTTCACTCGGTATCAGTCCAAATGCAATAAAATATAATATAATTATTATCCTATATTTCCATTTATTGGGGAATGGATTCTATAGTTAAATATATAAAGGATATAATATAATTATTATCCTATATTACCATTTATTAGGGAATGGATAATATAATTAAATATACAAAGAATATAATATAATAATTCATTTTTCTGGAAACCTAATAAAACAATGGTTATTTTATTGAATGCGTTGTGGACTTGCGTCAAATACTTATTACTATCATCCAATTCACTGATAAGGACTGATTGAAATGTAACATAATTTGGTTATGATAAAATAATTTCAACTCCCCATGCCCTTGCCTCGAATCTACCTACGGCATTCATCAGATTCGTCTACTTTTACATCCTTTAAACTTTATCCTCACAAAACGCACAGTGACTTTCATAATTTAGTATCCATTTTTATAATCCACTCTAAAAAGCAACTTTTTAAGAGAGCTGTATTATTACAGAATTTATTTTCAAATTCAAAACTTTTTGTTTTTAGGGCTACTGTATGATTTGTATCACTTGATCATTCGATGAATTACGATAAACGAAGACAAGTGAGATGGACCGCGAAAGATTGTAAATGCTCCTTGAGGATATTCTCATTCAGACCTTTTGAAATTGTTTTTCCCATAAGTTCAAATTTTGTTTGCCTACTTTCAATAAAAATATGGCGATATTTTGTGATGTCTTTCGACTTACATCATAGCTGAGTCCCTGCCAAACTTTAATAATCGTATATTGTTATAAGTAAATTTTGATACTTATTTATCACTCTAGGTCGCTTGAGGTGACTTCGGTACTGTTTTTTGAGTTTTTCGACAATCAGATTAGTGGGTCCCGGGATATCATCGAATTTAATTTGCCCCTGCTTTCTTAAAGGTTATCTCATCCATTTTGACAGCAATTTCAATCCTGTCCTAGGGAGGATAGTGACTTTGCTACGATACTCCATACCTGGTATCGAATACATGTGGGGGTGTTGATAAGATGTTGAGGCCTATTCGAGACCCTAGTTCAGCCTCTATGAAACAGCCTTTTGTGAGGCAGGGTTTAGTG